TATCTATCTATCTATCTATCTAATCTATCTAATCTATCTAATCTATCTATCTATCTATCCATCCATCCATCCATCCATCTATCTATCATCTATCTATCTTATCTATCTTATCTATCGTATCTATCTTATCTATCTTATCTATCTTATCTATCTTATCTATCTTATCTATCTTATCTATCTTATCTATCTTATCTATCTTATCTATCGTATCTATAGTATCTATCTTATCTATCTTATCTATCTTATCTATCTATCTATCTATCTTTCGATGGATCGATCGATCGATCTATCTATCTATCTATTTCTCTGTCTCTCTCTCTCTCTCTCTCCTTCATCTGTCTAGCTGTCTAGCTGCCTATCTGTCTATCTATCTATCTGTCTACCTGTCTATCTGTGGTGCAGTGTCATCCAGTGTAATGTAGTGTAGTGCAATGTAGTGTGGTGTAGTGGAGTGTAGTGGAATGTAGTGTAGTGTAGTTTAGTGTAGTGGAGTGTAGTTGTGTAGTTGTAGTTGTAGTTGTAGTGTCGTGGAGTGTAGTGTAGTGTAATGTAGTGAAGTGTAATAGAAGGTAGTCTAGTGTAATGTGGTGTAGTGTAGTGTAGTGTAATTTAGTGTAGTGGAGTGTAGTGTAGTGGAGTGTAGTGTAGTGTAAATTAGTGTAGTGGAGTTTAGTGGAGTGTAATGTAGTGTAGTTGTGTAGTTGTGTAGTTGTGTAGTTGCAGTTGTAGTGGAGTGTAGTGTAGTGTATTGTAGTGAAGTGTAGTGGAAGATAGCGTAGTTGTAGTTGTAGTGGAGTGTAGTGTAATGTAGTGAAGTGTAGTGGAAGGTAGTGTAGTGTAGTGTAATGTAGTGTAGTGGAGTGTAGTGTAGTGTAATGTAGTGTGGTGTAGTTTAGTGTAGTGGAGTGTAGTGGAGTGTAGTTGCGTAGTTGTAGTTGTAGTGTAGTGGAGTGGAGTGTACTGCAATGTAGTGAAGTGTAATGGAAGGTAGTGTAGTGTAATGTGGTGTAGTGTTGTAATGTAGTGTAGTGTAGTGGAGTGTAGTGGAGTGTAGTGGCGTGTAGTTGTGTAGTTGTGTAGTTGTAGTTGTAGTGTTGCGGAGTGTAGTGTAGTGTAATGTAGCGTAGTGTAGTGGAGTGTAGTGTAATGTAGTGTAATGTAGTTAAGCGAAGCGAAGGGAAGCACATCTGAACCTCCAAAAGTGGTCTGAACCCCTAGTGTTTTTAACATTTTGACTTCGAAATGTGCTTCGCGCCACAACGGCGTGCACTTTTTCGACATCTGAACTTCCAAAAGTGGTCCGAGACCGTCAGTTTTTAACACTTTTGACTTGGAAATGGGCTTCGCGCCACAACGGAGTGCATTTTTTCGACATCTCAAGTACCAAAAGTGGTCCGCACTTGGTGTGTTTTGTACATTTTCACTTCCAAATGTGCTTCGCGCCACAACGCGTGCACTTTTTCGACATCTCAAGTGCCAAAAGTGGTCCGAACCCCTCAGTTTTTAACACATGTTACTTCCAAACGTGCTTCGCGCATCGGGGTGCCAATTATGTGAAGCTGTGCACGAGTTTTAGAGCGGTCTAACTTTTTTGCACAGGTCTCAGGCTTTAAAATGCAAAAATGTGCTTCGCGCTACAACGGCGTGCAACTTTTCATCGCTCATCTCCCCAGATGTCTCCGCACCCGCCGCCCTAGCGAGCCTACTTTTCAACCCTCCGGAGCCACAAAACCACGAAAAAACACAGTGTTTCGCGACTTTCCTACCTTTTCGCGCACCTGCATCTTCTTTCTTCTGATCTTTTCTCTTCTGACTCTTCTCCCTGCTGACTGCTTTTTCATCTCTCCATATTGTCGGAAGTTTGACTTCCAAACTTCCTTCGATGATCACCAGAGCAACAATCCTAGAGTCCTAGAGTACTCTGACCGTGGACCACACAAGCACAAGTAGAAAACATAAGCACCCACGAACAATAGGAAATCGTTGAAGTAGAATTGTCTTGCCCCTCTGCAGCAAAAGGAAAAATAAGTGGTAAGGGTGCACAACACAAGCACTACAAAAACCAAATTCATGCTAGCTAGGAAATAAGAAAATGGAAAACTGCTGAAAAACTTGTACATCTGATTTTTGCAAAAAAATCAAAAGCGGCCCCGTGCGCTGCATGCGCGAATAGAAAAGTGGTCACGTGCGCAGAAAATGGAAATCTGCTGAAAAACTTGTACTCTGATTTTTCACAAAAATCGCGGAAAGTCGAAAAACAGGAAAAACGCGAAAAGTAGAAAAGTAGAAAAGCGGAAAACTTCCAAATCTGTTTTTTTCTCGGAAATTCGAAAAATCGAAAAGTGGCTCCGTGCGCGAAAAGTCGAAAAACACGAAAAACACGAAAAGTAGAAAAGTCGAAAAGGATCGCTTTTCTACTTTTCTACTTTTTGTATTTTTTGCACTTTTCTTGTTTTTCTACTTTTCTATTTTTCTACTTTTCTCACTTTTCTTTTTTTTCTTATTTTTCTATTTTTCTTGCGAAAAACGAATGGCAAAAAACGTAAAGATTGCAAAAACCATCGTTTTTCTACTTTTTGACTTTTTGACTTTTCTCGTTTTTCTTGTTTTTCTTTTTTTCTTACTTTTCTCAACCAAAAACGTGCACGGACAAGAAGATACCAAACGTCACGTCTAACTGACTTAGCCTTTTTGCTGGATTCTGATCGATCAACTTGGAAATATGACAGTCGAACCTTCATATGTACAGCCAAGAGGATGAATGCGTTTGGATTGTTTCCATCCCTGAACGGACATCCTGTTACATCGTCATAGCCATGCGTCCCTCAGGGATGGATTTTTCTACTTCCCAAATCATGGCAGAAGTTACCCAAGTTCGGCTGACCATGGCAGAACATGAACCTCGGAATAAACCTCCAGCAATCTGAATGCTGGAAAATTGGATGATATTGGAAGCCATCTACCCTGGGAAACAAAAAACGGGGATGTCAAGGCTGAACGTGGCTTCATTGGGCCTACGGGAAGATAGCCCTCCACAGGGTATTCCATCGGACCATCGAACTTGGCGGCGGCCATAAAGCCCTGGAGGCCGAGGCCGAGGCCGGTGGTGGGCTGTGAAAAATGCACGGGACATGGTGCTAAACACATAGTAAAACACGTCTTTTTTGGAAAAAAATATCTTCAAAATAAGAAAATGGGTATCATTTCCATTGCACAAAATGTATTGTCTATATCATGTTGAAACCAGACTCGTATCATGTTCATTCACCCATGTGCATGTCTGCAGCCAGCAAGATCTCCACGCTCACATGGCATTTTGTACATGTGACGAGGACTGTTTTTTTGCCATCGGGTTTTAACCACAAAACGCCACATGGACATGGGGATATCAAGAATGCGCAAGCATAGTGACCGTTAGTTCTATAGTCTCAGAAAGTGGTAAGATTGTTTCTTCAAATTGAGATATAGGTGGACATGAAACCAATTGAGGAACTTGTTCATGACTGGTACGACTCATTCATAGTGAAAGAACCTAGGTTTTGGCACATCAATGTGCTCACGCCCCCCCGTGATCTACCTAAAACACTCTTTTGCACCCCTCATAGATCATGATTACTCCAGAGAGCAGCCCTTCTGCAAAAATATGGGATAAACGTCAACAATGGAAGGGGTGTACCACCAACTATAAGAGGGATCGTTTAACCAACTTTATATGATAAATGAACCACCAAAAAGAATGCATAAACGCCACGATGCACCAACATAGTGGATACATAAATACACAGCTGAGCAGCGTCAAAAACCGGGTTGCAAACTGCTTCTACCGTTTTATTCATCGCTATTCCACTCATGGACTGTAACGATCCCTTTCCAATAGATTTGTAGAACCCAATATTAACAGCCCGTTGGATGCTCAACCTCTCTTGGGCTCAAAAAGGTCTGCCCTAAGGCCAAAAGGACTGAACAAGCTCAATATTAACAGCTGCCAAACAGCCGCTGTGACATCCCAAATCGAGAAAAATGTGCTTCATCTTCCAGTGGCCAAAACATAAATGGTCGCTGAGGGTGCTCAAACATGGCGGATTCGTCATCGCACTGATGGGTCTGTCTAATTCTGGGTAGGTGCCACAGCCATCAGACCACCGCGCCAACAAGGCACCTTGCCGCAAATATGCGGTTTCAGGCCAATGCCCTGCATATCGGGAGATAACCTCATCGCGACGGGCGACGGGGGAAGGCAGACAGATAGTGATGTGTCATAGTGGATCCGATGCTTCTGGCGAGATGATCTATGTACTTATCTTTATATATATATACGTATATATATATATATATACGTATATATATATACGTATATATATATATATATACGTATATATCTGTGTGTATATAATATATATATATACGTATATATATATATACGTATATATATATACGTATATATATATATACGTATATATCTGTGTGTATATTATATATACGTATATATCTGTGTGTGTGCGTGTCACTATAATATACACACTAGTGCATGTATCATATGTGACTGGAAAAGGAAACGAACCTGTTTATCTTTGCCTTCTTTTAAGCAACAGGCAGTTCCAGATCGCTTCTCCCAGCCATTGCGACTAACAGGGCCCACATTTCTCACCAAGTTGATCCAAGGTCATCTGACCCAGTCACAGCCCAGGCACTTGTATGCAACACCAAGGTCTCTCCCGTTTTTGCTGAAGGAAATGGTTTGCTTCTCCCGGTCCAACATTGAGCCTGGTACCAAGATCCCCATGTTTGGCGCTGGCAAGGGTCTGTAAAACATAGATTTAAACATCATCTGATCCTCCAAGAACTGTTTGCTTTCCAACAAAAAAAGAACTCTGGCTTTTGAAAAACACCATCCCTCAGAGTTCCGCCCATCGTCAGAGTCTGAGTGCCGCGCCAATGATGTCTCCTTCCTCGAAGGCTTCGCCATAGTCCTTTGCGGCTCGTGGCTCTAGGGGCCGAGATCATTCCACCTTCACGCCTGAAATCAGCCAAGCCTTAGATGGATGGGTTACAATATAGCTTTTATTAGATTGATGGGTTTGCAGATATGTGCCTAATATACATGTATAGCTACGTATAATTGGTATCAATTCAATGGGTTTAATAACTTCCGACATATTTATATTATATATATATATACTGATACTAATCAAATTGTCACCGTTGCGAGTTTGCTACAACAAAGTGCAACAAAGGGATTGCCATCTATGGTCTGACAAAGGTTGCGAAACACTTTTACTTGGCGAGCCTTAAAATTCTGGCCCCACATGCCAAGACACATTTGAGGTTTTCTTACCGTAAACCAATGGTTTTCCCTGCATAAAATTTTGGATGACTTTGGGGCCCCCATTTGAAGAAAGACTTTTGTCTTGACTGGAAAAGGGCAAACGGCAGAAGAAATGCGAAGGAAACATGAAAACTACTATTAGTGAGTATGCAAGACTATTGCGATCCTGTGCCACAACGTGAATTTTCCACCCAAGTACTTCCAAATGGATAATTCTCAACATCTGTCAAAGTTGTGTCTCAAACGCAGCGGTGCCCTCACCTTTCGTTAAATCTGGACGCCCCTTCGAGGATGCCGTTTGCATCCCTTCACCTAGCTGCCCGGGTCCAACGGTCCCACCTCGAACTTGCGATTCCAGCTCTTCTTTCCAGTTGATCCATAACCGTAGCCTGAGCCCCCGCTGCGCCGCACCAACTGGGGATCACAATAGGGGTCTCTTTCCTCGGGGGCATCTGGATGTCAGCATCATGAACCATCCTTTATTGAGACAAATTGTTTTGAACCGCCAACTTGCCCAAACAAAAAAAACGTGCCCATTTCACTCCAAGCCACTCTTGTCATCTATGCCCAGCTCCAGTTTCGCAAAGCCGGCACTCCAACCTGCACTGGAGCCCCCATCCAATCAACGGTCTGTTCAAAGGGATCGATGTTCCCAATATGAAACCCCAAAAGGTCTCATAAGTCCAGACAAGCCCTGGTTCCGTTGGAGTATGAATACTCTGGAAGATCTGCATGACTCGGAAGTCCAGAACCAAAACGACAAGGGGACCGCTGGATGTCGTTCAAATCCCAGTGATTCCCCAGTCCACCTGTTGGTTGATGCACTCCCCCATTTCTTCCATAGTTTTTGTGAAAACCTTGTTTCATATATACCCTTATTTAACGTAGCTATGGACATCACCTGTTTCAATAGGTAATTCATCTTTTTTTATGATATTAATGTCCATTGGGAATTATATATCAGGAACTAGTACGGATTGAATATCCATAGTTATAAAATGTTATTTAGCAGTCACTATCATATCACCCTAACATATTTTCACCACTAGTAGGGTAAATCCGCTCAATGAATTGTTTGACCAAGAATGATGCGTATGTTTATAATGATTATTGACGGTAATCACAATTGTTATCAAATGTTATCCATGATGCATATGTTTGTCATCACAAGTTCCATTTCATTTTTTCACATCCCCCAAGGCTCCAAGATTTCCTCCCAGCCCGTCCTACTCGCACCATGCCCTCTACGACCTGCCGCTTCGCTTGGTCATGACGGCTCATGGGCGAGTTTCATCAACAAAATGCCTAGAGTACCAACCAAAAATAGGGATCTGTCAGAATTCATGAGCTAATATGAAATTCATATATATATATACAGCTACTAACCAACAATAGGAGATTGGGGTGTTGTGTCTGAAAATGGTGGATCCACTATCAAGTTATTAGGGCCCCGGGTCCAACAAGTTTCGCCCATGTTGGACCCATATGTTTGTGCCTACGTTGCAGCTATTCCACTCTGGAAATGATACTCAGAAAACATCTCCAAAATTATATATGTATGAATGTGTATATATATATATTATATATATATATTTATACACCATTATATAACATGTTATAACTTGTATATATAGATATATTTATATTTATATTATATACCATATATTATTCTATGATATACCTTCTTTTTGTACAATACATTCCACTTTATAAATATGTGATCTAATTAACGAGCTGCAATTCATTGGATGCCTTGCTGGATGTATCTTTAACATTCAGTGGGTGGTGGTCCAAGGCTCCACCGCTCCTCGACTTCAAACATGTACTTTCCCTTCATCACATCAATCGTAGCCCTGATCCTGTCGCGCGGGTAGAGGGTCACGAGTCTGGTGCCGGTCTGAGAATTGCATAGATGTTCTCCATTTCCCCTGGAAGTTCTCAGGAAGTTCCTACAATATTGCGGGAAGGTCCCAAACAATTGCTCCCGGTTTGCCTCATCAAACCCTACCCAGTTCCTTGAAAATACCTCTGGGGTTCTGTCGAATTGTCACCTCCAAAGAAATGTCCGAGGAGTTTTTCCGAAAATGTCCTCAAAGAATTCCCCGGACGATACCCGAAGGAGTTCCGAGAATTGGGCTACAGGAGTTCCTCCCCGTCCCCAACAATTCCCCAAGAAATGTCCCTCAAAATCCCGAAATCCATCCAAATCCTAAAGCTCTGAAACAGTTTGGCAAAATCCCTAAATCCATGAGCTTCCGTCGGTCTCAAGGGGAAGTTTCCTTTGAAAATACCTCAAGGAAGTTCACTTTCAAGTGTCAAGTGTAGTTGGAAGTATCCTAAGTCTTTTGAGTCTTTTGTCGAATCGTGACAACTGTGACAACTGTGACAACTGTGACAACTGTGTCAACGTGCAAAGGCCGGGAAAGCACGGTGAATTTTCAGAAAATGGACAAACTGCAGGACAAGATAAAAAGAAACGTTGACAAACTTGCGAAGCCCAGCCAAACTCTCTTGGGTGTTTGTGTAAAGTTGCTAATGCACCATACAGATCCATACAGACCATACATTGCATACAATAACTCAATGCCGAAGGTGTTGCATTCACAGAATGGAGTGCTATTGAAAGGCGTTCTTCCAATCGTAGCATGAACATGAGGAATGATGCAGTACCATGTTATGTAAGGCTCATTTGTGCCAACTGCTACATATTCAAGTTTTTTGGTGGGATTCGGTAAAGATGGTAAAGAGTGTTGCGTAAACGACGCGCAAACAACGCCGAGAATATGGATTCTGTACAGCTGTGCTAGGGTGGCTAAGCAATCTCATCACCTTCCCCCAAATGACCATTGTCACTGGGAGTGCTTTTCCCCCGCCAAACAGAGTACCCTGTCCCGTTCCATCGCTTATCATCTTCGCTCTTGCATTCCATGCCATCCTCCGTGACAAGCACAAACATGTCCTGGAAGGGAAAAGGCCACAGCAGGCGAAATTGCTGTTGTCTAGGCTTACCTTTCACACTGCATGGAAAAATGCTGGAGGCTGCATCCAGCCTTGGAGACGCACCCAGTTTCAATGGATGGGTTGGAAAGTTGCCATCTGACACCCTGTTTTACAATCCCAAAAGGCAATGCTTTCCTGGAAATTCTCCCACCAATTCTGGGACTCGTCACTTCATCAAGTTGATCCAGCTTGCCCAGTCTCCTTGTCGTTCAGATTCAGCTCGCATTTCAAGTTTGAGGCATTCGCTTTCCTGCGACCAAGCCATGAACATGCCCCATGATGACCTTCCAACATGTTTTTCACCATGGGGAAGCATACCTCCGGTAGCTTTAGGAGCCCAGCTGACTTCTAGAGGAATCCAGACCCTCAGGCCAGTACGCCCCGGTCGGAAAACTCAGGCCATTACGCCATGTTACGTGCTGTCTCTGGTGACCAACTTTGAGTTTCACATTGCCCCGATCCAAATGTACCAAGTCACATTGCCATTCTGTTGCATCTTAATAAGTACAGGAAGTAGCTATGTATGTTCTGTCTATGAATGTATACAGATACACCGTTAATATCCTCCAGGACCCATAGATATCCAACATCGATAGATACAGATCATGTTCTTAGGAAAACCGGACAACCCGGTAGGATTTCCATAGCGAACTGTTCCTTTACTGAAGGGTATATAAGCTATATCTCGAAATTGGGTACAGTACCAAAAAGCCTATTTTCTACAAACAGGTTCCCCCATAAAAATGACCATATGTTCGGGTATCCCCCATTCTGCGACAAAACCCAAACATCATATTAAGTTCGTTATGTATCCCATTATATTCAAACATATATATATATATGTAATGTATGTAATGTATGTAATGTATGTAATGTATGTAATGTATGTAATGTATGTAATGTATGTAATGTATGTAATGTATGTAATGTATGCAATGTATGTAATGTATGTAATGTATGTAATGTATGTAATGTATGTAATGTAGGTAATGTAATGCAATGCAATGCAATGCAATGTAATGCAATGCAATGTAATGTAATGTAATGTCTTGTAATGTAATTTAATGTAATGTAATGTAATGTATGCATGGTATGTATGTTATGTATGTTATGTATGTTATGCATGTTATGCATGTTATGCATGTTATGCATGTTATGTATGCTATGTATGTTATGTATGTTATGTATGTTATGTATGTTATGTAATGTAATGTGATGTAATGTATGTAATGTATGTGATGTATGTAATGTATGTAATGTATGTAATGTAATGTAATGTAATGCAATGCAATGCAATGTAATGTAATGCAATGTAATGTGATGCAATGCAATGCAATGTAATGTAATGTAATGCAAAGTAATGCAATGTAATGTGATGTAATGTAATGTAACGTAACGTAACATAATGTAATGTAATGTAGTGTAATGTAATGTAATGTAATGTATGCAATGTATGTAATGTATGTAATGTAATGTAATGTAATGCAATGCAATAAAATGCAATGCAATGCAATGCAATGCAATGTAATGCAATGCAATGTAATGCAATGTAATGTAATGTAATGCAACGCAATGCAATGCAATGTAATGTATGTATGTATGTATGTATGTGGGTATGTATGTATGTATATTATATATATATATATATATCCCTAATAGTTGGTTGTATCCCCCTATGTTTGATGGTTAGTTAAACCATGTTAAACCCTTCAAAAGTCCCAGTTTTGATGGTTACAACATGTTACAACTTACAACCATCAAAAACCCAAGCCTTTGATCCCATCAGGCACTCGAAAAATGGGCCAGGGCCTTGTGCTGCATTTGCCGCGCAGGGTTTCATGCACAATCTGCAAGCATGGCAGACCTGCAGCCAGAGGTGCCACAAAAAAAGTGGGTAAAGGTGGAGGATTTACTCCCAAAACGGCAATGCTCATGAGGAAATTGAGGATACACCACCGAATTTGGAGGCTCCCTCCTAAATTGTTAGAGGAATCCGAATGGTCACGACACAACATGGCTGCCGGCTGTTTTGAACACTCAGTCAGGCCAGGTAGTTACGGGATGTTACGGGTAGTTCTGAGTCTGAAGACCCAGCGGTGCATCAATCTCAATGCCAAAGGGTCACTGTAGATTTGGAGTCCCTAATACTTGAGAACCGCTGAACACACAGATTGGCGATAGTCGCAGAATGCCCTTCAAAACATTTAAGAAGCAGGCGAGTTCAAAAACACGGTCGACTTCAGAAGTTGAAAAATGTTGGAAGTATGTCAAGTCTGTGACTCCGATACTAAAACCATTCAGGCTATTCAGGTCTATTCTAGGGCTCCTTAGAATCCACAAAATGGTATCCTTCCACTCTGAGGGACACTGACTCCTTTCAATTTCCATTAGCCCTGGTTGTGATTCCAACCCTCTGAAACATGCCAAGGCAATTTGTGATCATCTTGAGGAACAAATCGGAGCTGGGTATACTCAAGTTTGGATTCCCTTCAGTCGATTGCGGTCGATCAAAACCTCAAGGTGTGTCTTTATGTCTTTGGGACTTTGTTGCCACTATGCCACTATGCCATTGACCATGGCACATGCGACAGTTTGCCATGAAAACTACCCAATTTTTTAAAAAAAGCTGACGAAAAAAAGCTGGGCCACCGCACCGAAGGCGCCCGTCTTGCCACTCCCCGTCTCCGCAGCCACCAACACGTCGCCTGGCTGCCGGTCCAAAACCCAGAAGTGGAGGAGTTCAACATGTTCAACCAACGAAAATCAGGAAAATCACCATCAAAGATGTGGAACTCACCTACAATGACCTACAAAGATGAGGCTTTGCCCAGAAAAAAGTGGGTCTGCTGTAAACGACAAAATTTGGAAGGTTTGGGGACCAAAACTAGTAGATTTCACAGACAGGTTGGGGATTGGCCCAACCAAAATAATGGCTTAACCAATCTTGAAAAAATAGAACTTCAGCAATAGATCCAATAGGAGTTGACCACAAGAAATGGGAGGTATGTAACCAACAGAAACGCACATGCAGTACCGGAAAACTCTTCAAAGTTGTGATTCATCTCTGCAAATTCCGCTCTTCCAAGACTTTCGCTTGGACTTTCGCTTGGACTTTCGCTTGACCCAAAAAAATCCATTCTCAAAAAAAAACGTTCTCCGATTTATGACAATAGATTAAACTATGGAACATGGCCCATTTATAGATGGTTTACCTATTAAAAATGGTGATTTTCCATGGCTATGTTAAATAATCAGATGGTAATTTCACTGTAAAACGACCCAGCATGGTGCTGTGTACGACATTTCACAACGCCCCCAAGCGTGTCGACACAGGCGACCTCCACCTAGGATCAGCGGGACTGCCTGGTGCCACATCGGATTGTCATGGTAGCTCTCATGAAACATCATGAGACCAAAGAGGAACCCTGATCGTTTGCCGGAGATTTAGAGATTCTGCAAACCCTCCAATCGTGAAAATTTGCCCATCAACTCTGAGTGCATGCATGTGTGTGTGTGTCGTTTGGGAAAAAAGTCACGAGCCTATGCAAGATGTGGCTTGTGTCCAATCGTAGAGTATCCATAAATATGTAATATATATATATACTGTATATATATATATACATACTATTATTATATTCCATATGCTGGTTCCATCTGGTTCCTCTGTCACATTCTTCATGACTTTTCCGAAATCCGGTCTCCTCCGGTGGGTCTGCCTGGCCTCCTGCTGTACAGGAGTTGGCAGCAGCCAATCATCCTCTTCCACTGCTTGGATGATCTCAGGACAAATCCCCAACTCTTCGAAGGCACTCATCGTGACCGAAAAAACCTGCGATCGTCCACCATGGGGCGGGGATAGCGAAGAGACTGGGATCCATCATGAAGCCACTGTCATGGGCATTAAATGGGTCTGAAAATGAGCTACGCCTAACGTCCAATGCTTCGTCATCAGTTTCCAATTTGTAAAGTAATCTATTTCGTGGGTTTGCCGTAGTATACCCATGGTCAGAAAAGCCAAATTGCAGAAAGAATCGATTACTTGGAGGATTCTCCATGGGATTTTCCCACTTAGTACAGCAAGCCCGCTTAGCCCTGGGCCCAATGATTCCATCCCTGGGCCTCGAGAAAAATTCCCCGCCAGACATTGATTGGCTTACTTCGATCTGTCCGAGCCAAAACGAATCTAGCAATCAACAAATTGCAACAGTTGATAGACCACCATGATAGTCCACCATTCTAGACCAATCAACAGTTGATAGACTTTCAAGTCCACCATGATGTCGCCATAGTCTGCAATGCCTTTTGGATGATATGCGTTTTGTTGAAAAGAATAGTTGTTCACGATGAAAAGTCTACAATCCAAGTGCAGCAAATAAATATTAGCGTCAAATGTTGATTCTTCAACTGAACTTGCAAGTTCTACAAGGATAAGCATGTTTGCGCCTGCATGTTTTCTCCTTCGCAAAGCAGTCAGCACAATTGTAAAGCATCATGCCATTCCAGCAGTCTTTGCAGACTTGCAGATCCCCTGTGCCCATCTTCTGGTGCCTTTGAATATCTTGCAAATATAATATAATTTAATTTAATTTAAAATAATATGATATGATATAATGTAATGTAATGTAATACAATACA